CTTGCTGGTTTCAGAAGTGCATTGAACTATTATTTGTGTTTTAACTTAGCCGTCCTCATGGCGTTTCATAATACGCTATGCCACAATGATCCATGAAACGCACGCACCTCGGCTAGTCCTTCACTGTGACTCGCTAGCCACACTTGGTTTAGTTCAAGTAATGTCTCATTGCTTACACATGCCCATCCATATTGTATATCACAACATTATGCCATTGTGCGGTGTGTGGACATTGAAATAGGGATGTCCCTTATTATGCACACGCCATCATTACTCCTGTATAAGCAAAACATCAAGTTGAAGCTCGCAGGCACGGTCTAGCGCAATACCTTGTGTTGTTCCCCTCTTCTAACAATTATTGACATAACTCGAAGAGTCTATTGGAGGGGACTGCGACTCTGTTGGTCGCCCTTCACAAATGTCTTGCATCATCTGTCGAGTTCTCCGGAGATAATACTGCTGCCACTCCAGCGTCTGGGTTTGGGACTTGACTAGTTGTAGAGTTATGGATTGATACCTCAGTGGAGGCAGATTTAGCCTCTGCCTCTCTTGCTCTAGCAAGAGCTTGGAATTCTCGCTCTCCTGAAGCTAATTAAGTTTTCAATTGCTGTTTTGATGGTTCACCAGTTCTTGTTGGACGGGTCAGACATCTTGCCAATTGGTGCGTAGGTGTTTGACCTGAAGCGGAATAGAAGGGCGAGAAGAGGTCGGATTGATTGCGAGGGATGACTAAAGATCTACTGGAGATAATTTGGAGAGCTAAAGGTTCAAAAATGGGTAATATAAGTGTCTAAAGAGTCTAAAGGTACGAGCAAATACTAGAGGTGACAATAGGTGACCAGAGGTGATCCGAAGGTGGTGGTTGTGACAGAAGACTAAGCGTGAAGAACTCTATAGCTACAGATCAAGCCATCATACATATACTTGCTTTCCTCCCACTAGCTCATCATTAAATAGGCCCTAAACTAGTACCAACATAATAACCAGTTCTCAAGGAGCCGTGTTACTAGTATTCCGTAGGGTACGAATTTGGTACAAGTAGGTTACAGGTGTGGAGTATGGTGGTGATTCCTAAGAGTAGGAGGTATAAATTCAGCGTTAGGTATAGGGTTCACGTAAGAAGTAAAGGTAAAATAAGTAGTAGGTGAGAAGGGTACAATAACGGCGTTCTTCTTTAGAGAAGAGATAAGTAAGTGAACAATAGGTATGAGTATAAACAGAAGACGTTGCGTGAAGAAGAATACTCCTTCACGCTGGGTATATATGTACATCAGATAATAGGACAGCCCTAAGCTCTGTCTCGAACAGTATTACTACGCAATCCCTATGAAACGACCCTATGTTCCTGAGCCTGTCCTAATTGTTTGAGAACTTGATCTAACCCCGAGTTGTGTTTTAGAATGGAACTCCCCATGAGACACCATCCTAGTTTCCGCCACGTTTATCCATGAAACCAGTGCCAAGAACTGTTCTGTTGTCATAGCAACATCAGGAGAAGGGTAAAATTATAAACTAAAGTTAGGATGGGAAGGAGAATTCTTACACATCTGGAGCTGTCAGATCTATGTGGGCCCCAACAGTTCCTGCATTTAGTTAGGGCTTGACATGAATCTTTGGTGTGCATAATTGAGCCACAGTTCCCACAATATGGTGCCCTGGAGCAATTCCTTGAGGGGTGATGGCCGCTGCATCGCTTACAGAACTCAAGGGGCTCTTGCTTCTTGAATGGCCTGGCAAGACCAGATTCATCAAAGACCCTGAAGCTGGGTCGAGGCGATTTAGAGAAAGAAGCCATCCAGGTTCTGTGGGTCGTGGAGGGGTTATTCTGTCCGAAAATTTTCACTGCAGAGGGCCTTATGTTAGTTATCCTCTGGATCCCAATGGTGAGCATGGACTTTTTCACTTCAATTCGTCCCTTGAGCGTTCAAATAGCTGCCAGGACTATTGGAATTGTGATAGATGCCCAGTTTATCGCAGGTTCAAGCTTTGCTCCAGAAAATAGCCCATTCTCGGCTTTTAAGAGTTCTTCTCGCGCCTCGTTGCTTCAAGGAGTTAAAGCAAACCCTGAGCTCACCGCTTTGACTCTACCAATAAATAATGGCGATACCGAAAGTCGCTTCACCACTACCTCCCGGATACCAGCAGGTGAGAGTCTTTGCCACTCATGATCGCGTGGTTGGCGAATAAATAACCTTTTATCAGGGCTTATAGAGGGTTGGGCCTTTCCAGTAGTTACTTGTTTGCGAGTGGTAGGCCAAGGTCTTATGGGCTGTTTTTGAGGAGCTACTTGTTGTGAAAATGTTCACTGTGTGACAGAGATATTGTTAGACACTGAGGGTCAAATGAAAAATGTAAAGTAAAGTGGTATTGATGAAATCTCTGCTCCTCAACTCCTCTCCAGCAGTGATGCTATATACCCATCTGAAACGATTTCGAGGAGAGATTATCTTCTCCTCGTTTCCCAAAATTACATATGAAATATATTACATGTGTTGAAGATCAAAAGATCTCATGTTAGAGCTTTGACTATCCTGAACATCCTGAACATCCTAGTCATCCTGATCACCATATCCCTGGTGAGATATCAAAGCTCGAGTTAGTTAATCTGACAAGATGTGTCATCCCACTATCCAATGATTCTCATTACCATATTCAGTAGGTTCCAAACCATCAGATATTTGACAGATATGTAGAGAAGATATTATTTTTGATAAATAATGTGGCTCGTATATGATACTGTCTAACTAATGTGTAGTGAAAAGTGTTATGTACATGCTTTTGTCAAACAGACCCATTGCGCAAACGCCAAGGCTATGAGCACGTGATTCGGATTCATAACACTATTTGGTTGAGTGTCGTCTTGATTGGCAGTGACTCACTTGTTGCAGTGACACGATCTTTCTTGTGTACGTTATGAGTAACTGTCGCCCAAGAAATCTTGGTGTTTACCAGTTTGCTAGGCAGTTGGAGAGGCTCCCTAGAGAGCCCAATCGTCGTAGCTGACTCTGTAGTGCCAACTTTGTTTGTTTGGTCATTATCCATGCCTTTTGCCCTGCTAGAAACTGGTCGAGAGTTCGAGAGAATGAGAGGAGGAGGGGAGGAGCCTCTGAGACTGCGTATTTTGAAATGGCCTTGCAGAGGTAATCGCGAATTTCCATAGCCTCGTCCTTTTCGATGTCCTTCATAAAGCCTGAGTGAGCACTCTCGAAACTATTAATTGCGCAGGTACACACCATTATACGAGGGTTCCATGCTAGTTCACGACGCTGTCATTCTTCGATAATTTGGGCGAGTTCTCTTGAGAGAAACTCGTTCGCGTAATTCACATTTTCTGTTGTTGTTTCGCGGCAGGATTTTGGAATTGCGCGTTGAGAGGAAGGGACAGGCTGAAGGGTTGGCCTGTCAGTCACTACCACGTCGTGTGGATGTAAGATAGGTTGAGATGGAGGTGTTGCGGAGTGGGAGATGGGTGGAGTGTTGGATGGAATGCTAAAAGAACAGAAGCCCCTTTCCGCCATGAGGGCATGATTTTCGATGTTAAAGCCCATTGTTGCCATCGCAAAATGTGTGTCTGGCATCACTAGCTTAGTTTACATGAGTAGGTGAAATACTATCCCTAAACAAATTCGAGAGTCAGAATTTCCAACAGTAAATGTCAGTCCCAGCATGGTCTTTAGAGATCTCATCCCTCTCTCGCTCCACATCTTAGTCGCCTGTTCTCCATCAAGTTCTTTGTCCCATTAGCGCTACGGTCCCCCATAGATCAAGACGCGAGCTTTGTATACTACGACTTAGCTTTCTCCTTGCGGGTATACGTAGCGTCGTAATATACAAAGCTCGCGTCTTGATCTGTGGGGGACCGTTGCGCTAATGGTGCTTCACATCTTGAAAGGGCGATAGGAAGTTTCGAAATGGGACAAACGAGTGAAGAGGTTACAAGTGGGCATACCGGGATGCATATTTTTCGAGTTTTTTCGACTTTTGAGGACTTGTGAGCGCCGAGGGTAGGATTTCGAATAGTGCTACCGACACTTTAAAAACAGGCAAGGATGAAAAGTATTTTGGTCCGCCTCCTGGTCTTCATCTCCCTTAATTAAAGTATGGGTAGCCTGGACACTTAACTCACTCGAAAAAGGGAGGATTGTGAGTCCATATCTCGCGCAGTGACTACATACAAGATGACAAAGGCATGTTAGGGTAGCCAAAGAGTTTTTCTGTTTTCCTTTTAGTGGATTTTAATGGTTGAGGGAATGATGAAAGTCCCTAGTACCCAGGTCTCGAGTGGTATCAGCGAATGCACCCACTACATGAGTAGTCCAAATGTCAAACTGAGTTATAGTCGTATATTGTCACCAGGGAAGGACTCGCCTTTTCTGTGTCATGCTCTATGAGTGCTAGGCTTATACCTGTCACGAATAAATAATTATCAATTCATTCATTCACCCTGGAATTAGAGCGATCAATTTCATGCATGAGATCAAATCCTCCACATGCAAGATTCTAGATTACGGGAAACTTATCTTACATGAGCCAAGTCATTGCCCCTCATCAGGACTCACTACCTCCTGTGCGCCATTAAGATGATTAAAACAGAATCCCCAAGCGTTTCGCAAGTATAATCTAGTCTGCGGTTAATTTCAATGTAATTTGGAGGTCAAAAACATCAGTTAGTTAAGGCCTTCGGCATTACAGCTTTGAGTAACTCATGACTAGGTAATGTTATCTTTATTTCGATAAGATCTTTGCATGGCTAATAATATAATAATTCAACCTTATAAATGCATTATAATCTTAGTATCAACTCTATGACATGACACCAATATCTCTTAACTTTTTAAGCTTCAAATTCTTTCAAACGACCACCCTCAATGAGACATTGCCACTTGATAGATTCCTGACTCTAAGCACTTTCATCGAGACCTACGACATTGTTTTCTCTCAATAATCAGGCATATGATCTAGCGCCGGCTGGTCGCTACAACTGAAAAAGATTCACAAATGAGCTGTGCATATGTTATAATCTTGACTTCGGTAGCACGCATGGTCGTGACGGGCTGGGAGAACTCATATTCATACTATGGTCTACACGAAAATCCGAGTGTCAACGGGTTTCCCGTGCCGTCACCCAAGCTTGGTATACATATGTCTCCAAGCCAGATTACTGTACATGGCACTTATGTTGTAGCATATTGTTCTATACTGAAAGACTTGAGACAAATTGTAGAAAAATCATCCACGAACGGCAAGAGGTAACGCATAATGTTGATCAGGAGTATCAGGTCGATCATGCAGCCCAATATGCTTGTGCCCTATCTATTGCCAGAGAAAAATCTCTAGACTCACCTGCTAAACCTATGTCTGGGGTTCTGGGAAGCGACTGTACACTTGAGCACTTGATCAACTTAGCCTTCACAGGCATGATCGGGGTGCAAGGAAAATATGCATGTTTTGCGCCGCAAATTAGGGATCAGTTTATCATAATTGATGCAGATACGCCTATACAGTTGGAACAATTTCTGCCCGGAGGAAAACTACTCAAATGGAATAAGCTTAGTTCAGAGATTCAAGGAATTGCCTGGTTTCGAGGAAACCTACATTTGTTCAAAAAAAAAGGAGCTAATCACGATAGTAATCAATGGTGGATCCCAACTACCTTGATTGGTCACGAGAATGCAAACGGGAAAGCGTTGACTGAATTTATTCTTCGAAACTTACCCGCTATCAATGAGTTTACAAAATCAATGAACGACTTTCATTATCTTACACTTGAGTTAGAAAAATCCGACCAAAATTCTGGCATCATACAAGCAGATAGACACTATTCATTTTTAAAGTTCAGTATTTCTCCCAAAGAATATATAAATAATTATTATCATAGCCATACAAGGCGGTTAAAAACAACTCATCCAGATAACCATACGAGTGGCTCATATTTCCGCGGCAAGTTAAACAATTTACCTGATTATGCCAAGCAATACATTTCCAGATGGAAACTCAATCGGGAAAGTAAAGACAAAGAAAATTATTCATTCGGTCCTGGTATCATCCGATCAAGTGATATCTTATCTGAAAGTTGGAAGTTTGAGTGGATGACTAAACGCTCACTTGAAATTCTGCCTCAATCTGAACCAGATGTTGCTGCTGAAAGATTTGCGGAGTTTAGAGGAAAAGGCGCTTTGTGTGGTTAAAGCTTGTTGAAAACATAAATGGGTCATGTGATAAGAAGGGACAATCCTCGTCGATCAAGACTTTGACAAGAGGCGAAACATAAAAGATCTTTTACAGATTTTTACTGGTTTAGCAAATATAATTCCAACAGAAAATTTATTCTCGTTATATACTCTGTCATATCGAGACGTTTTTGAATCAGGCTCAAGGAGAAATATCATGGCAAGTCAAACTGAAACCTGAGGCTTGGAGAAACTCCAAGGAGACGTTTCTCGTGAAATCTCAAACAGTTTGAGTGATATGAGTTAGAGTCATGAGTAGATCTTACTCTAGCATATGTTGGATTTTGTCGCATTGATTTGTTGTACTTAGGGAAGCTGGTGCTACCACAGATTAGCTCTCTCGCTTCGCAACTTGTGATCTTCGCATATTTCGAGGTATCTTGTCTATTATGTGGGTGGTCTTCTATCGCTGTATGACTGGATGCAAGACAATGGAATTAGCACAGATGGAGGAAGTTGGATTGAATCAGAAAAATGGAATTAATCCTATTGCACACAGTAGATCTAGAGAGTTACGAAGACTAGAATTTACAAGTTTTCTCCTCGCGACTAATCTAGATAAGGAGCGTGATTGACGCGACTCGTAGGTGTGACATTGACTCGCTCTGCTCATCCTTGCACCAACCAGATACTCCTTGTCATTCAACATTGTCTCCTCAAACTTGTCATCTTACCTACAAATTACTACAATACTTCGTCTATTCTTCGTTTCTACTACTTCAACATCCTGGCAACTCGGCAGCTTAGTCCTTTACGTATATCCTCTTTGAAGCATTGACCTTGTACACTTACCTAATAGACAATACTAGGATTCCTTCAGCAGACGGCAATCTTGAATTCACACGCTGCACGCCGTAACATACTCGTTATTATCGCTAGGTGTGTGTGTTTGTGTTTATTGTACTACTTGAGTCTATGACAATCTAGCATGTTGGGCTCCTCTCTGACCCAGGCCACAGCTTGTTCAGTGCTCCTTGCCTCTCGTGTTTCTTGAAAGATCATTGATGTATTGCCCGTGATGAATAGCCATTCAGCTCAGTGTTTACCCATAGAACCTTCTAGCCAAAAAATAACGGTAGCAACGGAAACTGGGTGCGAGGGAAATATTCTCGAAAATCCCGTAGACCTAGTTACACAGGCGCGCACATCCATCTTCATCTCCCTTATTTGTTACAGTCGAGGCCGACTTAATCCAATCTACCATCTCCATATTGGGTACTGGGTACGTTCCTGACAGTTATTGGGTGGCTTCTCCTCCGTGATCAAGGGTTGGTGATGAGGAGGGCTTCAACCCTACCATCTGATCTAATCGTGGTTAGCTTCGTGAAAATGGTGATAGGGGAGTGTGTTGAGAGATGAAGACGATACAGACGGCGAAAGCGATTTGGAATCCTCGTCGAAATGAGGACTTTGTTACTCAATCTCGGCTCTGCAGACTCTACAGTGAGAGCTGGAGGTTCATAGGGGACACCACTGACAGGTGTCGGTGGAAGAGACACGGTGATGACCAGCTGGATCGTGTGCCTATAGCGCAAGGTTCAGTATTTTACGGGTTTGGCCGTGTGTAGGAATATGAGATGATAGTGTAACTTATGCACCATTGAGTAGATCTCAGATTCTAACGATGCATACGATGTTGCTGCTATACTTTTGGGGGACTGTTCTCAACACCTGTCAGTGGTATCTCCTATGAACCTCCAGCTCTCACTGTAGAGTCTGCAGAGCCGAGATTGAGTAACAAAGTCCTCATTTCGACGAGGATTCCAAATCGCTTTCGCCGTCTGTATCGTCTTCATCTCTCAACACACTCCCCTATCACCATTTTCACGAAGCTAACCACGATTAGATCAGATGGTAGGGTTGAAGCCCTCCTCATCACCAACCCTTGATCACGGAGGAGAAGCCACCCAATAACTGTCAGGAACGTACCCAGTACCCAATATGGAGATGGTAGATTGGATTAAGTCGGCCTCGACTGTAACAAATAAGGGAGATGAAGATGGATGTGCGCGCCTGTGTAACTAGGTCTACGGGATTTTCGAGAATATTTCCCTCGCACCCAGTTTCCGTTGCTACCGTTATTTTTTGGCTAGAAGGTTCTATGGGTAAACACTGAGCTGAATGGCTATTCATCACGGGCAATACATCAATGATCTTTCAAGAAACACGAGAGGCAAGGAGCACTGAACAAGCTGTGGCCTGGGTCAGAGAGGAGCCCAACATGCTAGATTGTCATAGACTCAAGTAGTACAATAAACACAAACACACTCTTCCACCGATGCACAATGACGCCTTCCCATTCCAGCTGGATTCTTCCACCAAAGACGACAACCACCAGTCATGTGTCACAGTTCTGCAAGCAGTCACCTACCATGCAAAAATACGACTCCAAGACTGGCAGGCTGCAGTAGATATAAATCCCTCTGATTTCAAGAGAAATTAGAGTCCCTTCGTCACTAACAGACGGCCTCTTTGAAAATGACTATTCAATTCTGCAACTGACTCGTTGACGATTCTAACCATGCTCCTACTCCCCAATGCTGTCGGCATTCTTGGCACAGACTTCTCAGAATCGAAGGACTTGACGCAATTCTTATCGTTTCTCTTTACCGCCTTGCAAGTGTCTGAGGCTGGCCTGACAGGCATATACTTTCCGCGTCAAAGCTCCTGCTACACTCGCCGAGTCATTTGGCGGGTAGGGATATGCGCGCACACCGGCTAGACACTGCAGGGAGCTTTCCCACTTTACTCGGCTCTTTACGCTTTGGGAAGCAAGGTTAACAAACGCCGGGATACCACGGCCTAACCAGACGTCTCGTCACTCAGGCTCGCTGTGCTGGCTGTGCTATTCTGGCTACTCGAATCTGTCAATCTAAGACTAGAATGATTGAGATGCCTGGAGTAGGGGTTATGTTTGAAACATGACCTGACGTGGATTTTGGCATGATGATCATTGGTGGACAAACCGTTGATTATGTATCCACCTATCTAGTTCCCACTCGCCTACGAAAGCTGCTATTTATCTCCGCTCAAGTTGTAGTATTATACTGTAGGCCGCCGTCACAACAGGCCTCTCGAACCAATTTACATCCATCGAATATCCCAGTCCATCTGTGCCACGGCTCACATACTACTTTCTAGCTCCCTATCGCCCAGACTTCCCATTCTGAACATATCCCAGAGAAGCTTTCCGCCTGGTCTGCAAAAATGCGTCTCTCGGATGCTCACGTGTTGATGACAGAGCCCTTGGTACGATTCACCCTCACGCTACTAAAATCTGACCCAACCTGTAATCTTACTATCTTTACATGGGAAATATTTCAAGAACGCACTAACTTAGCAACATGGATTAGAAGGGCGAAGATGCCAAATGGACTAGATTAATTTTGTGCGAATTTTCTGATCTCGAAACACTCAATAATGAACTGACATAGCTTGGTCTAGGACAACGTTCAAAGATCCCTTGGGGACACAACGTACTTGGGAACATGCTGAGCGCCAGACACGGCCAAAGTCCTCTTCTGTTGATGGCGTAGGCATCGTAGCTGTTCTCAACTTACCCAACGGTACCTATCATATTATTTCGTAATTCACGGCTTGAAACCCAGTCTCTAAGGCTAAAAATAGGTCCCGAGCTCGTACTTCAACGGCAATATCGACCACCAGTCAATGCAGTTTGTATAGAGATTCCTGCAGGTCTCGTAGACGAGGGGGAGACTCCAGAACAGGCAGCTTTACGCGAACTGAAAGAAGAGACGGGTTACATAGGCGAAATCTCAATGTCTACATCCGTTATGCTGAATGGTACAACCTCGTATTCTCGTCTGTTGTCCTGCGAGTTTGGCATGCATGTCTAATACGTTGGAGTAGATCCAGGATTTTGTAACACCAATCTAAAGATGATTCACATGACGATAGATATAAACAGGCCAGAAAATCAAAATCCCCAGCCAGAATTGGAAGAGAATGAATTCATTGAAGTATTCACACTCCCGTTAAGAGACTTATACTCTCACTGTGAAAAGTGGGAGAAAGAAGGTTATGCACTCGATGCTCGAGTTGCCACTTTAGCGGAGGGAATTGAGATGGCCAAAAGATGGGGGTTGTAGATTAATTTTAACCAAATTCATTTTACCTGCTAAAACTTTATACACAGGTTCGACTTATATTGTGGATCGATGATGAGACACGTAACTTCTTTGAATTTTGTTAGCAGATTTATCAATATTAAGCTTGAGCCTTTTGACTAGAAAATCAGGGTGGGCTGTGTATTTGGAATACAAAATCATCGATTTGTAAATTTGTACATCTAGAATTAAAATTTCTTGGGTACCATGATCGTTTAGAGAAATATCAGAATTGCCTGATTTCTCTGGGAAGACAGCGGGGCCTTAGACTCCCTTATAACTGTCCCGGTTGTTGTTGGTTACTTAGAGAGTTTTCATTTATGTTTGACATGATGAAACTTGATTTGAGGTTCAAGTTTACATTCGTTTTAATTGAGCCATTGGTTTTTTACCTTGGAATGATATTAGTTAATACCGCGTTTTGACGGAAACATGTGATATCAGGTAAGCGCTAAATGGTAGAGCAATCTTAGTTCTTAAAGCCAATCCAGTCGTTTGAACCTTTTTTGAATCAAATAATCCCAGAGCAGTTTTTTAAAATCCGTGCCTTTCTGAGTGAATACTACTTTCAAGATTGTAAAGTGGTCATGGACGTTTTTTTGAGTCGTTGGAATATGCTCAGAAATAAGGAAAATAATCCAGAATTCCAGTAGGTGTTTATCTACTATGAGCCTGTAGCTTTGAGTAGATTGGCCACATTTACGCTCGTGATTGTTGCTTCATTAAACTTTCGACATTTACAATTTGTGCTTCTTTCCATTTAAGTACAAATGAACTGACCGCACAATGTTGAGGGATAGGTACTCACGCCATATTATCCCATGAGAGAACTTTTCCGCTCGAAAAACATACTCGATTTAAAGCTTTCCGTCTGGTTCTCCTGGTAATCTTTTGACCCTTATCTGTTGCCAGTCGTCTAGGTCCTTAGCTGCGAGTCTCTAAGTAAATAGTCTAGTCAGTCTTTAAATGTTACTTCTATTCATCTCGATTTTCTTCCTTTTACTCCTTCCAAACAAGCAGATACGCTAGAATGTATTTTTTACTCACGTAATACTCTTCTTTCATATCAACCTTTCGGCCAGACTTGCCGATACCGAGAGCTTCCTCTCGTGTCATTCGTCGTACCTTGCGGTCATGCTTCTCGTACCGCACTGCTGTTACTGGAGTCAAAAAGAATGATCCTGCCACCATGGTTGCCAAGAAGGGCAGTCCGAACAAAAGAAATGGATGATTAGCTAGAGCGCGTCGATATTGTGCGGCTTTCGTGTTTGATTCAGCACCTCCCTTGAAAGGTTGCGAACGAAAAGTCCGGAGACAGCGAATTGTGCTTTTCATTCCTGCTCAAATTAAGAAGGAACCAGCGTTTTATAATGTTTATCCTTCCTGGGATGAACTGTCTGTTTGTGAAAGTAGAGCGGTTTATTTGACAACCTGGATGCGAACTTCAAAACGGTTAATCTATTGCCGCGCGGCTAAAACATATATTCGCAGTGGTTAACTAGCGTGAAGTGAGCGGATTTAAAGTTATTAGTTCCTAATTTTCAGCCGGGTCATGTGATGAACTGCTTCTTATCTATTTCGTGAAGCGCATCAAATCGCCAATTGACTGTCATGGCCTTCTCAGTATGCCTACTAAAGCCTTGAATACAGAAAATGTATCCCAGGTCCATAATGCAAGCTATGGCGTGCAAGAAGTCCCTCAGTCATCGATGGCTGCCCAACTTATCGGCAAGGTTACATCAGCACATAGATCCTCTACACAAGCCAAATCAGATGAGTTACAACGGTTGACCACGGAAGTATCCGACTTCGAAAACAACGCCGCGAAAACGGACGATCCCAATGTCCAAATTTGCCATAGACATAAGCTTATCTACGTTCTCACCCGAGCTGTTATAGAGCGTCTAGAACAACATGACCCGCTTGCGAATACAGAGGAATTAGTTTGCCAGGCCGGCGAGTCACTTGATCTTTTTCAAATAAATATCGTCGCATCCCCTATCATACTTAACTACACCCTGGCCTCTCATGAATCGTTCAAGGACCGTGGAACAGAACCGTTGTGGATGTGGCTTTTCCCACGTGTTCTAAGCCTACTTGGACGGCCGCAATGTGAAAGCCTAGCGGCAAAAATAAAAGATCTCTTCCGGAATTCAATTTATTCTGTTAGTGGAGTGCCCATGCTCTGGAATCTTGGACCTCTTTTCTTCAAATACTTAAGGGATTGTGCATTCTGTACGTGTCTCCATTCTATAAGTTACCGTAGCTTATTATCTACAGCTACTTTGGAACACCTAGGGAAACCTTGCAAAGCTCGTGTGGACATATTACTCCCCCCGGATGATTCTGAAAATATTTTTTCCCTTGGTGATAGAGATTGCAAAACAAAGACCTTTCGTCTTAAGTACATGATCCGTGACGCCTGCCATGGACTCTCTCACGTGTGCAATATTCTACATATACTGGTAGATATCTCTATAGAAGTGTCATCTCCAAGTGATGCTACCCTAATGTTCCAAGACCATCTTGCGTGGTTGTTGGACTATTTAATAAAAGCACATGAACTACTTAAAAGGTGGTGTGAAGTTCCCACGCTGTTAGAGCCGTGCTACAACTATGATGAACTTCTTTTACAAACTACGTTTCTAATTGTATCTGCTCCTGAAAACCTGATTTTCCCCAAGGTCGCACGGAAAGGCTTTAGTGTATTACTTATCATTTGCGTGGAAATTTTAGAAAATTCTGGAAAACTATCACAGACTTCACAGCAAAATCTTGCCAGGGTATTCCAGAGATTAGCTTCTAACTGTGGAGAGAAAGGGTTATCACATAAAGTAACATATTCCCGCTTGATATCAAGACTTCAAGATATCTTGCTGAAAGATTCAATAAATGTTAATTTTTCCCCAATTTTCAAGGTTTGAGATTAAGATTTAAGTTCCAGTCGTATTTTCACTGATGAAAACTAGAATGAATGTAACTCTCTGTGTGCAGTGTATACCCAGATGGAGGAGGAAAATATGCTTGCTACTCGACTGATGGATAAAAACAGTGATCACAAGATTAATGCACTTGAATTTAACTCTCTTTACCCAGAGCTTGACGACGTAAAAAGTTTTGATAATGGCCCACCAGTTAAAAAACGGAAAGTTGATATTGATTCGGCCTCACTGGCTATAATTACATTAGAACTTTGCAGCTTTATCCATACGCAAAAGATCACTACCCTCAATGAGCTTAGTCAATTGAAAGAGTAGGTTTTTAGGCTACTATTGTAAAAATCTAATTATGAATAGGGACTTCTTTGCAACACTATCTCCCGAGAAACGCTATCAATTTGTGGAGATATTAGGCCGAATACCCTGTGCTATATCTAACCACCTAGCTTCAACCCGAGAGAATTTCCCGGAAAAACCTTATCTCTGCCGCATTTGCGAAGAGAAACAATACCTCAAACCAAAATTTTCCAAAGATGATGTAAATTATGAAACTAGTCTTGAGGCAATTAACATTTTCACCAAGACTATCAAATCCACAGCTTTTTCAGAGTCAAGAAAGGTTCGTGTTTTGTCGATGATCATCCTAAGAAGATTTACAGTGCATTTTGATCACGCGGAGTTTTTGGACTTGGAAGTTTCAACATTGGCTCAATGGTGTTTTCAGTCATTAACAAGCTCAATTCGAGAGCTTCGTGTTGCTGCAAGGTCAGTCACTGAAGATAATTAATTCAAGCCATTAAAACTGACATAAAAGTCGCACTGCTGCTACCTTTCTAAGGGAGTCTTCGAATATTGCAGTAACTAGAAAAAATAGAACCCATGCCCTTGAAATCCTCCGAACATTTCCTCTGAAGCAAGGGATTCATTTACAAGAAACTTGCGTCCTTACTTGGGGTCAAATCGGAATGTGAGTTTTATAAACAAAAATTTGTGCTTGATTATTGACTAGGCCAGGATTGTAGAAGATGACGAATTAAATATTGTACTGCTTACTCTAGTTCAATATCTAGGTCATGGTAACCCCATAGTCTCAGGCGTTGCATATAATGAAGTGAGAAACTCTCTGATTTTCATGTTCTTTTATTAAATATTTCAAAGGTTCTCAGGATGGCAAAGGCATTAGAAATAAGCATCTCACGATTATTTTCTCCATTTTGGGGAACAGTTGCCAATGAAGCAGTCAAAGACCTTATAGTAAAGCCTACGACAACTCAAATGATGGCAGACCTACTTCAATTATCTGTTAACGAATTTCTTCTTCTAACTCAGTCTTACACTATTCCATGGTTAGTAATGGGGAAAAAAATTGATGTCATCAAAAAAATTTCTGAAGCTAGAAAAGACTCAGAAATAGGTATGGCCTGCGCAGAAGCACTTAATCTTGTACCAACTTTGGCCCTTCTTATGGTACAGAATGTGCCTGATATAGAAACTTATATAATGTCCCATCTAAGATACGCCTCCTCACGCTTCAAAGACACAGACTTAGACGAATTAATGAGAGTTGAACCAGCGTCACAAGCCCTTCATCTTCTCAAAGCTGCTGGGGAAGCAAATGAAGATAAAAAAAGCAGGGTATGTGCTTCTGACTCGGAATTTTTAACATTAATGTAAAGCAGATTTATATTGCTCTAAAATTTCTCGCAGAAAGAGCACCAATTCCAGAGAGTAAGAGAAAGGAAGATAACCCAGTGGGTGCTTTTTTGGAGCAACATATTTTGGGCCTCATAACGACAATTTCAACAATAATCATAGATACTGCACACGAGCAGTCGAATACGGACAAAAGGCGATATATCAAATCACTTGAAGAACTGGTCAAAGTTGCAAAGTCCTATACTCGAGTTGGACAGCCCCAGGTAAATTTCCTTCCAAGGAAAACAAAAGGGCTCACTAAACTCCACAGATTTGTGCTTGTCTTCAATTTGCCCTATCTAAAAAAGATCTTCAAGCTCCTGCTTTCTCGGCATGGGCGACTATGCTCACTAACCTTGACGATGACGATGTTGAAGCTATGTTAGAAAGCACATTTTCAGCTATTATCCAGCATTGGGATAGTTTTGACGAAATAACTCGAGGCTGTGTCGAAGATGTGCTTCGCTATTTACTTAGTGATCGGACACGCCTGATTCGTAATATGATTGTGAATCTTCCATCATTATCTAATTGCCCTCGCCTCCTTGAATTTGAAAACCAGTTACAGAAATTAAGAACACCGACAGATATTAGTAATAGTTTTCAAATATTTAGTAGAAGACTTGGTCATGAGAACCCGAGTGTCATAACTCAAACACTCATTGAACTAAAGTCATATCTTCATTTTCACCAATCTTTTTTACAAGCTTCAGCAATCAGTGAACAACCTGATGTCGTAGTGGGTGTCCTTATTCGATCTATTTTGGATACTTGTGTCAAGTTTAATGATTCTAACAGTACCATTGAAATGCTTTCGGCTGAATGCATTGGGCTTATTGGGTGCCTAGACTCTAATAGAGTTGAGTCGATTCGAGAGCATCGAGAAATGGTCGTTGTCAGCAACTTCGAAGATGGAGATGAAACTTTGGATTTTGTGCTTTTTATCTTACGGGAGATTATTGTACCAGCTTTTCTTTCTGCAACTGACACTGTATTACAAGGCTTTCTTTCATTCGTTATGCAAGAACTCCTTGAGATATGCCAATTCAAAGAAATATGTGTACCTATTATACAAGACGGTACCAAGAAATCTTCGCATCATATTTACTTAAAATGGGCTGCTTTGCCAACTTCAGTTCAGGATACGTTGACACCCTTCTTAACTTCGAAGTACTCATTGAAGGCGATGGACCCTCTATCTTACGATTACCCTATCTTTCGACCGGAAAATTTCGAAAAGACAAAATCTCGTAAACAAGGCAATATTTACGTTCCGTGGTTGCGGAATTTTGTCTTGAACTTACTTAGAACGCCTCTCACCAAAGCTGCCAAGCATATATTTCCTCCTCTCTGTCGAGCGATAAGAATTAAAGATATTTCAATTGCAAGATTTCTTTTGCCCTATCTGGTTCTGCATGTTATCGTTGCTGGTGTTGAACAGCAAAGAAATGATATTGGGAAGGAACTTCTCGCCGTTTTAACATACAAGCCGCCGTCTGATTCTAGCATCCGACGAGAAGACCTCAAACTTTGTATTGAGGTAAGTCAGGATAGTAATTCGAGAGATAATACTACATATGTCTAATACGAATAGATTGTTTTTCGGATATTAGACTATTTGGCTCGCTGGATCCAAGGAAAAAGGAGCAAAAAGTCCCAGCACGTAGACACTGATGAGTCTATTAACCGTATCGAGTCTGTAATTAAGATGATTCCTCCAGAAATTATATCTGGTCGTGCTGTGGAATGCAAGTCATATTCTCGCGCACTGTTCTATTGGGAACAGCATATCCGAGACGTTCGTGAGAAGGATAAGCGACCAGAAGTGAAGACTAAACTTCTTCAAAGACTTCAAGATATATACACTCAAATTGACGAGCCAGATGGTATGGAAGGTATATCTGCTCATCTTCATGTCTTGGACATAGATCAGCAGATTCTTGGTCATCGACGTGCCGGTAGATGGACGGTGGCTCAAAGTTGGTATGAAATTAAGTTTGCAGAGAAGCCTGATGATGTAAGTGTCCAGCTAAATCTACTAACTTGCTTGAAGGAATCCGGTCAACATGGTTTGTACTAAATCCCTCGTTAGAATTGTATCTGGTGTTAGCTTATAATTCAATAGATGTCCTGTTGAACTATGTACAAGGAATGCAACTCGAAGAACAAGCCATCCCCCAACTCTTGCCATACGCTGTAGAATCTTCATGGACTACTGGTCGATGGAATATTTTAGAAAAATATACCGAAATGGCGACACAGTCTGTGACAGAGGATTTCAACGTCAACATTGGTCATGCGCTTCTTGCCCTACACAAGAAAAACCAAAATAAATTTTGTATGACCATACATAAGATCAGAGAACAAATTGCCCGCTCTTTCTCAACTGCAACGACCTCTTCACTAAGCGCTTGCCACGATACAATGCTCAAACTGCATGTGCTCACTGAGTTAGAAATGATTGCGGGCATGGACACTCAGCCTTCAGTAGAGCCTGACTTGGGGAAGGTTCTAATTTCTTTGAATAGTCGACTTGAAGTTCTGGGTGCTTACCTAAATGATAAGCAGTATCTACTTGGGATTCGACGTGCCGCTATGCAGTTGTCAAGGTTTGTCTAGGATCATAGTGCGTCTTCATTACTAATAACTTTAGCCTGAAATTTTCAAAAGGTGACATTGCTGCTTCTTGGCTTACTAGTGCAAGACTCGCTCGTAAGGGTAATGCTATCCATCAGTCTTTTAACGCAGCTCTTCATGCATCTCAACTAGAGGACGAAACTGCAACTATTGAGCATGCACGACTTCTATGGAGAGAGGGCCATCATCGCAAAGCAATTCAAAGTCTACAGGGCGCAATTGAGTCGAATGCATTCATGTCACACAATAGAAATACAAATCTTACTGACCTGAACGAGGTTGATGCCTCTAAACAACAAAATTTGCTAACTGCTAGGGCCCATCTCTTATTAGCCAAATGGCTGGATAGTGCTGGACAAACTCAGTCACTTGCGCTCAGAACACAATATCAACTTGCCGCTAAAACCCATATAAATTGGGAAAAGGGCCACTATTATCTCGGGCGTCACTACAATAAGCTCTTAGAGACTGAGAAAAACCTAACTTCGGAGCTTCAAAATGAGCACTATCTTATAGGGGAAATGGCCAAACTTGTGATTGAGAATTACTTGCGATCTCTTTCTCACGGCACAAAATATATATACCAAACCCTCCCGCGCATACTCACTCTTTGGCTTGAGCTTGGTGGGCAAGTTCTACAGCCTCTTGATACCAAATATGGCAACTCAAAGGAATTCATAACGAAAGTAAACACACTTCAAAGAAAAAATCTTGAGCATATTCACTCGCGAATCCATAAGTATTCTGGACGATTACCAGCATATGTATTTTACACAGCTCTTCCGCAAATCGTTGCTCGTATCGCGCATCCTAACGTCGAAGTTTTTAATTATCTAGCCAAACTTATATATCGAGTAGTTGAAGCGCATCCTCAACAAGCTATGTGGACCTTACTAGCTGTATGTCAATCCAAGCAGCAAGATAGGAAAGCACGCGGTATGACCGTTCTTCAATATATCCGCTCACGTAAGAAGTCAGAACCTGGTGCAATCGATGTGAAACTTTTAATAAGAAATGGCGAAAAACTCACGAATGACTTACTTCGCGCATGCGAAGCTGGTGATTTTCATGGAAGTCGTACGATTTGGTGCAGTTTGACTAAAGACCTAGGTTTCAATCATCGAACTTGTCTTCCTAGCCTAATGGCTGTACCAGTTGAGAGTATTTTGACCGCATCATTGCCAACATCAAGCGACATTGTAAAAAGCCATCAGGCATTTTCAAGAGATGTAGTAACTATCAGTTCATTTTCAGATGAGGTGATGGTTCTAAGCTCTTTACAGAAGCCTCGTAAGCTCACAGCTCGTGGCTCAGATGGTAGGAATTATGGACTTATGTGTAAGCCTAAAGATGATCTACGCAAGGATCAACGTCTTATGGAGTTTAATGGTATGATCAATAGATCTTTAAAGCGAGACGCTGAATCAAGTCGGCGCCAGCTATACATTAAAACCTACGCCGTAACGCCCCTAAACGAAGAGTGTGGTATTATTGAGTGGGTAGATGGCTTGAAGACAAGTAGGGATATTCTTCTTCAACTTTACAAGGCTAGAGGGGTAGTGCCAAACTATAAAGAAATTGAATCCCTATGTGAGGAAGCATGCAAGTCTGAAAGCCAAATCTCGTATTTTACAGAGAAGGTCCTGGGTGCCTTCCCTCCAGTACTATACCAGTGGTTCGTGTCCCAGTTTCCTGAACCTTCGGCCTGGTTTGCCGCGCGTTTACGATATACACGTTCTTGTGCGGTCATGTCTATGGTAGGCACAATACTTGGTCTTGGAGATCGACACGGAGAAAATATTCTATTTGAAGAGGGAAATGGTGGGACATTTCACGTCGATTTCAACTGTCTCTTTGAAAAAGGGCTCACATTTGCCAAACCGGAACGTGTGCCGTTTCGTCTAACGCATAATATGGTAGATGCTATGGGGATTTATGGTTATGAAGGCCCATTCCGCACTTCATCAGAACTTACACTGCGTCTGTTGCGACAGCATGAAGAGACACTAATGACTATTCTAGAAGCTTTTGTATACGATCCAACGCTTGATCTTCTATCGCGCAGGCCGGACAAGAAGAAAAAAGCTATTGCACTTGGAGTACCTGACACAGCGCAGGGCGTCTTGAAAAGTATTCAACGGAAGGTGCGCGGTCTTTTGGCCGGTGAATGTATGCCGCTCGGCGTTGAAGGTCAAGTCGACGAGCTTATCAAACAAGCAACCAACCCTACCTTCTTGGCAGGTATGTATATCGGTTGGTGTTCGTTTCTGTAAAATATTTTAAACGCACAAGAATGAAAGAAAGTATGTATAATGTTAGTCTAGGCTTGGTTTGTTTGTCTCAGGACAAAAAATATAGAGCTAGCCAATTTTGTGTGGAAGCGGTTTGGATTAGTTATACCACTTCATTGGTAACCCGTCAATACTTTAAAAAGAGATAAATTTGTGTTTGATCTGTATAAATCACGAAGTAAAAGGATGGTAGAGAGACAGCCTTGGTAATGTAAGATAGATTGGCTATTGAACAAGGAATAGTGGTAATTAGAGCGAGCTCTATATACATGGGACGCGGATGTTTGCTAAGGAATGCCAAGACTAGATTAGCATTCATGTCACGTCTAGGTGTTTCTTGTTCAAGCATCTACATCGCCTAACTCACTGCATGTATGGAGCCGTGAGGGCGTAATTGTATAGATATAGATTGGTTTTTATTTCACCAGCACTTTTCATCAAAAATTAATATGATGCTTAACACTAGACTTTAGAGTATGATGAGCCCCCAAACAAAAAAGGAATCGCGTTCGCTAGAATTGTAATTGGCTGAAATACTCTAGGTGTACCTGATTATATAGTGACTTTTTCTATAAAAAATTGAAAAAAATATGAATAGTAGTGTATACTATAGCTTAAATGTACTGGTTTTAAGACATTAATTTTATTTTTTCTTCCTATTTACATCCTATGTAAGTCTAAGACTTTAACAGGATGTGCATTAAAAGATGCATCTTCAAACATTATCACCCTTCAATACAAATTTCCAATGATTCCATTGCAATGAATCCTGGGGTCACCTTGACTCTGTTATATTGAATGTATTAGTCTAAGGGCTTGGATGCATGTAATGGAGTATTTAGCGCTGGAGAGTAAACTGAGGTGTTTCGGTTACTGTCGGCGAAACATTGGAGAATAGTGCCTGCAAAGAACAATTCTGCATCTTCCCGTGGTGCCGGTGTAATCGCTCAGTATACTCTGCATAACTGTGGTTGCCGAGAAGAATCGCATCCAAATCGAAGTCGAAAGCAAACACGTGCATTTCACCATTTGACGACTTCTCAATCATGCAGCACTAACCATTATCTTCTGAGTCCTCAACCTCTTTCTAACCACATATCATCTCGCCTCAAAGACCGATAAAGGCGTCACCCCAATTTCAAACAGGAGCTTACCTCATTAATTACCGACCATTACTCACTACAAATTTAAGACGCTACGTAAACCCGCAAGGAGAAAATTACGACATAGTATACAAAGCTCGGGTCATGGTTTTTGTGGCACTGTTGCTCAAATGAGGTTATACATCTTGAGAAAAGTCAGGTGGCTGAGATGTGGAGCAAAAGGGGGGACAGATCGCTGAAGGCAATGCTGGAACTGACATCTTCGACGAGTTTTCAACTTTGGAGCGTTTGTGGGCGCCAAGACCGAGATTTCGACTAATTAGCCAGGACTTCTATTGACGACGAGTCAACGGTGCAATAGACGTTAGGCTAAACTAACATGCAGTAATTACGCTCTGTCAAGACTTTTCTGACATTTCAGCATGATCTTCGGAAAGGAGTTGGAAGGAGGCTAGAAAGGCAGAGGGTAAATTTTCCGAGGTACCCACAAGTCTGCAGCCCCCAGCTGGCCAGCCTCTTCGAACGCATCAGAAGGATCACTATGTCTCCGGATTTAGACCTAATGTCGGTATTAGAAGAGCCCTGCACCTAGTGGTTTTTGCGAATTTTCTCAGCTGCCATACACCCGCAAATGGCCATGGTTTGGTTGGCTGTAGAGGGTAGATAATGAAGGGCAAAGGGCTCCTCTTAGTGTATGATCGAACGAGGACTTGTGAGGGGTGGTACTGTTTGAGGGGAGCTGTATGGGAGGCATAGGAGGGGATATACTACTAGCATAGGTATTCTTGGCCCCTACGCAGAGAGGACCTACAAGTCCTACATAGTCATAGACTCAGATAGGTCAATAAAATGAAATAAAAGTAAAAATTGGAGAATCGTTGATCCGTAGGCTCACGTAAGCTAGACGCGCACGCGAACTACTAGATAGATGTCGGCTTAGCCAACTAAAATAAAGTAGAATTAAAGATAAGTCTCTGGTGAATCTATGACTATGAAGGACTCAAGTGCAAGAAAGTTCACATTTATTACAGACAACAGTGTCGGTTCCAGTGATCGGCCTGTGACTGACGGCGAGATACACGAAAGTTTTTGGGATTAGGTCCTAGTCAATGATGTCTAGCCCAATTATGTTAGAAATTGTCAAGGATTTCTAGGAGGAAATATCCCGAAGAACAAGTGTACAATTTCGGACAAGAATATATTGATAGTTGTATAGGATATCGAATTCTCTTCTCAATATGAATTAATAAAATATTTTATTTCGATTACTTAGTTTAACACATACAAATAAGCCAATCCTTGAATACAGATTTCCGAGGCTTTAGTGATCCCGAACTCCCAGTGATCTAGCTACAACCAGCCACTCAATTACCGCATGGTATCATTTCCTAGCCACTGCATTTCAGATACTACTGAACCTCGTTTCCCCTAGCTGAGCTTAATCGTATGCAATAGAAACAAGTAAATTGATCTTGATGATCAAACTAGAAATCTAAACCTTCATACATACGAAGTCTAGATTTCCAACAAATTGTGGTAGGTTGCAGGCTATTGTTACAATCATTCATGGGATCATAATCAGGATTGTGAGTAGTTTCGATTGGGTGTGGCTTCATTCATTTAATTTCTCTAGTTCAACGTTCTATGCGGTATCTATATACAGAACCATGAAGACGGTGAGCCATGTTGAAGGGAAAAAGCTTTTAAGCAACAGAACCCGCCGTCCTACCACTTTGAGCCGACCTGGCTTAATGCTGAGGACGTTCCTTTCAACCATAACTTTATAAACTCTCCCCAGATTTCGTCAGCTCCCCCTTCGATCAGACTATTGCTAGGAAAAGTTGAAAAGAGAATGCATCTCCTCACTCGGCGTTGGTCGACGAGGTGTTCGAAGAGTTGGCCCCGATGGTGGTGCGACTGTCGCGGGGATGATTGGTGCTGCAGGAGCTTCGATTACCTTTGGCAGTAGTCCCGGCCCTCTTCTGAGTCCATCAATCTTCGTACTGCTGACCGAAGTGAATCCCTGATCATCCGTCGTCTGAACTTTTTGTTTGGGTTCAGCTGGAGGATTTCATTCCATTTTTCCGCCGTTTTCGATAACAGCTCCATCCGAGCCTTCTCCACACTTCCCTTGTAGACTTGGTAGGTCCGACACGCTGATTTTTGCCATGAACGATGCTCCCTGCCGCGGTTCGCACAAGGAACTCTTTTCCTCAGACAGTCCCGAATTTGGTGAGCACCAGCGCACTCACCGCACCTAGCTGCTTTTCCACACGACGCATGTGTGTGTCCCCACTGGCTGCAGTTGTAGCACTGCTTTGGTAAGGTCCGCAGTGACCACAGTTGCGCGGTGAAGAGCATGGCGTTGATGATGAGTCCATCTCGAGGAAGGCTTGAATCGGCAAGCGGTTGCCGTTGTGGCTATACGTGGGTTTTGTAATGAAGAGCTGGTGTCGAAGGCTAAGAGCAACCACCGAAGAAGTTGGAGAGGGAAATGTCTCGAGTCAAAAATTAGGACTGTCCATAGGTACATGGTTTGTTTGCTTCGGTCAGAACTTGTATTCTGTATTGGGAACCGCAATATGACTGGAAGCCTGAGTTGGTGATGATAATGTCGATTTAATGAACTGTGTAAAGAAGAAAGAGATATCTACCTACAACTAACGGGTATTTATAATATTCAGCCCCTCAGTGATTGTCTTGACTGATTTCTTCACCCTAGGGCGAATACTTGCCACCCAGCCACACATTATCAAGAATCACTACGCTGTGACACTGATCTGACTCCTTGGCTGGTAGTGCCGTATCTTCCACTTTCCTCTATCATTTCCTTACAGTCTTACAATATGAATCTTCAACAATACGCTTAGGTATCCACATAAGCTCAGACAACGGTCAAACCGTAACACGCAGGTTACTCGATTCCCAGCGCATGTCTGTATCCAGAGATCAAGTCAATCATGATCAGTGTATATGGTCCTAGAATTCCGGGAAAAATAGGAATCAAGTTGTTTTTACCGGGTTATCATTTACTTTAATTACATACACTTCGCCTATCACAGGTCAGGCTCCCAGTTACCGGAAAGCTGGGACAGAGTCGGTGTTCTCGCAGATGTGAGCGAACAAATTTATTGAGACAGTAGGCGGTAATGCCCTCACGCCCAGACCCATTGTATGGCGAGATGGAGGCATCGGCTAGCCTAGACTGAACGTGAGTGAGAGCGGCTAATTTCTTCACCTCCATGATTGTGTCCTCGTCGTCCTGACCGCCATGGAAAAGCTATAGTTACTTCATCGCCTACAATCCAGCCCCTATTGGTCGAATCGCAATCCGATGCTGATTTTGTTTGAACCAATTCAAGAAAAGAAGATGCATCAAATATTCAAATGACATATTTTTGAATCAATCTAAACTTGGATATAGACTAGATGCGGTGTGGAGTCGGTCAATGACTGGGAACCGGTCTCGATTATTGGGATTTGATTAGGACCACAAAGAGGAGCGGGGCATATTATGGGGATGATACCCAACTTAATTACTTGATTATCATCTGGGCGTCTGTAATTATTGTGTGAATAATGGCGTTGGTAGAGAAGCTATGAGGAAATTTACGGATATTAATCACGCGGTGTCAGTGCGGCGTTGGGGTTTACTTCCGTTCATTAATCATGTTAAATACATAGATATAGATATACGTTTTGGTCAATAACCATTTTACCCAATCTTTGTGCTAGCACATTAACTAGAGCCGGTGATAAACCGACAATTATTCTAGACAAAAAACTTGCACATATTTAGCTCAATAAATCATACTATCTACACGACTTGGAACCCCTTTGTCAACTCCGTCACCATATGATACAAAGCAAAGTCAAAAA